CTGCAGGTAATGCTCTGATAATGCCTTCATGCACTGTGGGTTTATCAGACATTACTGCCTTTTATTTGCTGTATCAAATACTGACAAGGTAAATGAGCCAGATCTCATAAAACAAAACAAAAAACTGAAAGTGACATTAAAGGCCAATTATGTAAATATGTACTGAAGATGTGTACAGAGTAAAATCAAATAATTATGTAGTAACTGCTTTATTGTACAGGTACTGTAGGAAGAGGCGTCCCGGTAAACTTAATAACCCTCCAGCCGTATAAAAAAACAAATACCATTGAATTTAAAGGGTTACTAAAAACACCATGACCACTTCAGTGATTTGAAGTGGTCATGGTGGTAGGAGTCCTTATGTGCAGCCTTTCTGCTTGAAACGCTGTAGATATAGAGAAATCTGCCCTTTTGTGCTGGGGGCTAATTACACCTCTGGCAAACGTGACTTTGCCTGGAACCCTGTTACGGGCTGCCTAAAGTCAGTTCTGTGCATATTTTACGTCTGTTGTCAGTGCGCACAGTACACTGGAGAAAGGTGTAAGGAGGTTCTCCCTCCCGCCGCTGGATTGCAGGCAAGTTTAATATATTTTTTGCAGGTTTGACATGGCTATTTCCAACTAAATGTCACGTATTCATCCGCTTACAAAAATGTGGTTAATGACATTTACTGTCCACACAGGAAAAGTTGTGCCGAGCAACAACCAAATCCACAGAAGGGTTAATGCTGAGCAGCAATTATGCAAATGAGATCAAAGGCCGGTTACAGCCTATCAGAACTAAAGGAGGGGTATTTAGGCCCAGTTCTCAGCCTGCTCAGTGCCCTGTCGTGGTTTCCCTTGTGGTTGTCCGAGAGCGCATTATTGATTCTGGTAATTCTGGTTATTTGACTTTGGCATTGTTTTTGACTTCCCTGTTTTCTGGCATCCCTGACTCCTGGCTTTTCCTTATCATTGTGTCTCTTTCTGTTTCCCTTGACCTCGGCTATTCCTGACTATTCTTTGGTACGTTAGTCCGGCCATTCTAAGGTCCGGTATACGTTACCTGTCAGTCCTCTGTGTTACACAGTTCTACGTGCTGGATCATTCTGTAATCCTGACACTAAATTTGTAAAAAAATTTGTCTTAAAAAGGGTGAGAGTAGGGGGGCAGAGCCAACAGGGGACCAGTGCAGATGCACATGTTAGAGCTCTGAGTCTGACAACACAGAATAACTCCAGAACTGGTGGAATCGGGATACTTACCTGCCTACAACCCCTGTTACCCATATCTGAAGGTGTAATGGGGCATAAAACTAAAAAACTAAATCGAGGGCGGGTTGATGGCCCAAACAGCAGAGACATTGGGGATCTCCTGCGACTCTCACAAAGGTCCACTTAGGACAAAATAGCACTGGGAGAGAAGAGTTTCTCCTATACCTCAGAAGACATCCCGTTCCACCCTGGAGCAGGGGCATCGTTCCACCCAGCCCCTGTGCACATGGCTAAACCACCACCGGATGAGGAACTTTACGGCCGGAATGCTGAAAACAATGCTGGCAGAATTTTGGCAAAATATAGCGGGCAGATATGGCCTACTATAAAGACGCCATTACCATTAAAGGCGCTAGTACCAGGATCACGCTCATGGAGGCCTCCACGAGCTTGCATGACTCACAAATAACTTCAGTGGAGCAGAAGGTTGCTGACCTCCAGCAACAACAAATTGCACTCTCAGAGAAGGTGGATACCGCGGAGGATTAGAGAAGACAATACAATCTGAAAATCAGAGGCATCCCAGAAGCAGTGGGCCTCCTGGACCTACCACGTTATCTTCGGCAACCATCCTCCTGCCTCCCAGGCAAAACAAATGAAGCTGGATGGCATGTTCCGCCTGCCTAGACCAGCGAACGCACCAGTGTCAGCTACCACAGATGTCTTATGTCTGCTGCCGGAGGTAAAACCCCACTACTATTCAAAGGATCACAGTTGCTGCTGTTCCCAGAAATCACCAAAAGCTCCCTTACCCGGCGCAGAACGCTTCAACACCTCCTGCAGCACCTATGAGCCAAAGACATCGCCTGCAGATGGGGGATTCCGAAGCAGCTGATGTTTACTCACCTGGGGACCACTCACATAACCCAAAGCTACCCAGACCTAGAAGCACTCCTGACCAACCTGAGCATTATGGAGTCCCAAAAGGTAGACGGAGCGGGCCTGTCCCGGCTGGATCCTGCAACGATCAATGAGTTCACTCCCCGAGCCACGAGGTGCCATGCGCCAAATGGAGAACCAACCTGAAGGGTAATACTTCGGGGGTAGGAGACCCTGACCTCCCTACATTAAGGACACGACCTTCCACGACAAAGCAATAATGTTATTCACCTGGTGATATGACTCTTCTATCTGGTTTTATCTTGTTTTACTCTGTTCTGCTCAAAAAAAGTTAATTTCTTTCTTTTTAATACCTTACTTGGTAGCTGATATGTCTGTGATGCCACTTTTCTTATATATGCAACAGTACGATACCCTATGGTATCACCTAGAAGTTTTTCCACCTCCCCCCACCTCCTCCCGGTTCTTTACTAGCGTAATACTTTACAGCACTCTTATTTTACCGGAGAAAGGTGTATCCCTTAGAGAGCATAAGACCTTTTACATCAGGCTACACTTTAAATGACACACCAGGCCTGTAAAATAAAAGGAACACAAAAATAACACATCCTAGATCGGAATGAATTAAATATTCTTCTGAAATACTTTGTTCTTTACATAGTTGAATGTGCTGACAACAAAATCACACAAAAATTAAAAAATGTAAATCACATTTTTCAACCCATGGAGGTCTGGATTTGGAGTCACACTCAAAATTAAAGTGGAAAAACACACTACAGGTTGATCCAACTTTGATGTAATTTGTAGAATATTGCATATTCTATGTTTCTATTGATTATATATATGGATGTGTGGATTGACATAAGTAACAGATGGTATCAATAAGTCACAAGGCTTTCTTTGTCCGAGAGCTCTGGAATGTGGATTCGGGGGTCTTGTCCTTATATGGCTAGAGTTATATGCTGACGTTAGTATTAGCACATCTAGATAGTAACAGAGGGACACGAGGTCGGTCTCACTCTTGGCTTGGCTCTGTACAACGATGTAACTCTCCCATCAGAAGTACAGCAATTACCATCTGCTGTTAAATGTCCATTATCCTGTAACATCCTATATTATGTTTTATGTATCCGTAACTAAGAATAAACCTGAAGAAACCGTAAGTCAGATTGCGTATTACTACTTTTCAATAATATAGACATATATTATTGTGGCGAGCATTTGGCCCAAGAATATATATACAAAAGACGTATATATATCAATCAACTGAAGACAAGAAGAAATTAAGAAAGAGTCTACATTAACATCCATTCATCTACATTTTTTACATTGGCTAGCCAGCCAGTCTTCTATTCAAAGTTTTGTTCCCACTTCAAGGGGGGAGAGAGAAGAATCGAGTTACAAAGCTATTTTGGAACTGGGAAAACAAACTTGAAGAGAAAAAAAAGAATCTAGACTGTGGTTTGTAAGAAAAAGAAAGTTTTCAAATCAAAGACTGTACAAGACTATTTTCTACAACTGAGACAAAAAGCACAAGATACAACGTGAAATCTAGAAGCAAGCACGTGGCAGACATTGGCAAGCGTCCAAGCAAAGAACTGCGCAGCTGTGTGGATGAAGCAACGAAATAGACAGAAATAACTGATCTGGTGAGTAACATGGAATTCATAAATGATAATGCAGAGAAAAGTAAATTGCAGTTTGCATTTAATAGCAGCTATTCAGATGCTGTATTGTGGCAATCTTTATACACACAATGTGAAATTGCCAATACTGAAATTGCCAAGAAATTGTTTGTTAATAAGAAAAAACAAAAGATCAGAAATGTTATGAAATTAGTCTGTACTTACAATGCATTGATTTGTAAACGAGATGCAGGTCAAGAAAATTTAGAATCAGCAGATAAAGAAGTAGATTTGAATGGGTTAACAGAAGACAAATCAGATTTAAATGAACAATGTAACAATGTAACAGAGAGAACATTGTCAGAAAAAGTCTGTGAACTAGAGGATAGTGTTGAACTAAGAAATGATCTTATTTGCCAGCTTAGAAATGAAGTTAAACTAGTGTGTGTTAATACAAGAAAAATAAAGGCACAGAATCTAATCCCAGAACCAACTGATACTGAAAATGTATCCTCACAGAGTGATTTGCAGAAATGTAAATTTCAAGACAGAGCTGCAAAACTTAATTTGAAAATCCATGAACAATTAATGAAAATTGTGAAATCTATTCCAGTTTATGACATGTCAGTGGATGCATTTACTAATGCTGAAATGTTTGAGTCTAATTTAGACAAATACAGCCTAAATGACGAACAAAGGAATAGACTATTTCAAATATGGCTGCCGACTCAAATGGCATGTAGGCTGACCACGCTTGTAAAATGTGAGGACAATGATGAAATAATATATGGAAATAAGCGAGACAGATTAACACAATTAATAAAATTAACAACAGGGAATGATTTTGCAGACACTGAAATGTTGGAAAAACTAAAACCACACAAAGGGGAGGATATATTTAGTTTTCTTGTAAAATTTGAAAATGCATATAGACTTGTTGCTGATTTTTCTGAAGATCAGTTAATTAATGAATTTGTGAAAAAATTTCAAGATCTAGATCCAACTGCAATTGTGTTAGCTAGAGAAAAAAGCACTTTGACAGAGGTAGCTTTGTTCTTGGATAACTTAAGGAGAGAAACCAATAATGAAGGGGTTAAAACGACTTGTGGATTTAGGCAGAGAAAGAAGTGCAGATTTTACAGCCCTCGTCCCCCTCCTTCTTCTTCTTCTTCTAGGACAGAGTGTAGAGTTAATCAAAGACAGAATATAACTCCTAAAGTTATTTGTTTTTGGTGCAATAAACAACATTATTTAAGATCTTGCAGATATTTTATCCGAGATATCAAATCAAAAGCAAATGAAAAATTAAATATGTTGATTGAAAATTTTGATAGAGAAAATACATGTGGAGATAAATCAATAAAGGCCTTTCCTTGCAAACTGATAGTCAGACAAATAAAAGCAATTTTAGTTAAATCAAAATTAAGAGACAGACAAGCAATGCAGTGTAACACAGAAAGTTATAAGAATCAGATAACTTCAAGAGATATGATCAGTTTAGGGAATGAGCATGGATATGTGTGCCAACAGATGTGCACAGGCTGATTCCAGAATTAAGAACAGCACAAGAATAGAGATCTATGTTAGTTTGTTGTTTTAAATGAATTGTTAGTCTGTACTGTTTTTCATTGTTTTATGTGTGTTATAAGAAAGTATTAGGTTAATTAATGGAAATAAAAATTTACATCAAGTTTGCAAATATGGCAGAATGAAATACACTAATGTAGCAGTTAGGAGACATGCAATGTTATATTGGGTGTATGCGATTATACAGTAACTCCAATCATTTTACAGAAGAAAAAACAATGTTGTTGCTTCTGAGGTTGATTTAAAATCTTTGATTTAATTCATGAGAATGAGATTTTAATGTCATGACTGATAATGGATTACTATATTTTGCAAAGCCTGGACATACATATATTTTGACTACATAGAAGACAAAAGTTTTGATAGAATAAAACCTAGATTTACAAATACATTTGATGTAGGAAACAATATATGTTTTTGTAGTTTGTTTCATGTGACAAAATGGTGCCAGTGTTAAGACAAAATGGCTGCTATTGCTAAAGTATAGTGGAAAACAATATTTTGTTGTAACATCTGATATGTGATTAGGTTATACCTCCAGATTATTAAACAGTTTAAAGGGGGGTATGATTAATAAGGTATGATTAATAAAATGTTCAGAAAGATTTTAATATAAAGGAAATTTAAAGATTATACATCACATCGCATAGATGTAATGACCACTAGATGGTAGATCTCATGAGAAGAAATGAGAATGTTTTGTGGAGTCCATGTAATTCAATGTTAAACTGTATAATAATAATGAGATATAAACATTGTAAGCCATTGTATTGATGCTGCACATGTTATTTGTTTTAATGTAGGTAAAGCGTGACAGATCCTTGTGGCAATAAATCAGGAAAGTATTCCTTCAGACAACTGGACATCGACTGTTGGAAAGAGACTTTTCATCTGATGTGCAAACTGTGATGGAAGATTCTACAGAGTTCATTTGATACAGAAGATTAACAGACTTACAAAGAAATAAAAGATTGACACTAACATACATATATATTCCTAAATATTAATGAAGAAGAAAAAAGATAATGAAAAGTTATTTAACAGTTATGAGTATTAATACCAAGAGAGACTACTTATAACTATATAACACATGGAGTAAAATTATTAATGGATGGTATTATGAAGAGAACTATTACATTATTACCTATACATAGAATGAGAAGTATCAGAGGTAGATAAAATATGAAGTCGATAAAATAAGGATCATGGTTACTTAATACCACAAAGATTGAGTTCAATAGTATCTCATAGATAAATTATAATAATTAATTTGTTTATATCAAGGTGAAGTAAAACAAACAATGGTAACATAAGGAAGAAAACTAGGGAAGGATAATTTATATTGATTAATATTAAGTAATAGTATACATTAAGAAGGCCTTGGATATAAGAGTTCAGAGATCCAAGAGGAACCAAATTGAATGGAAAGAGTATAGTACACAATTATATTTGACCTAAGTCTATAAAGGTATGGACTAGGGAGAATAGGTTTCTGGATATGACGGTATCCAATGAATTGAATACGTTGTTAAGATTTCCCTGAGTTTGTAAGACACAGACTAGGAATAAGAGTTTCTGGGCAGTATGACCCCAAGTTTTGTTTATTTTATTTTAGTCAGTTGAAGTGTACTAAGGAATATGGATTGGTCAGAACATTAGGACAATCCTGCTTTTAAGTTGAGATGTATTACATTAATAAGTCATCACAATGCTATTGAAGAGAGTGATGATAATTAATTTAAATTATTCTTTCCAAGTTATTTTAAAGTAAACTATGTTTCTATGGAATGAAAAGTTTGTTACTACAAGGTGGAATTTTAGTGAAAATTATAATTATGTAAACAAAAACAAATCTATGATAGAAAGATTTCTGGGTGCAGAATTTCTAAGACAATAGGTATTGTCAACACCATGAACATTATTTGAAGAATTATTATAGAACGTCATGGTTGATAACACATCATTTGAATGAGACTTATAAGTAGTGTTGGTATATTTCAGGTAGTGAGAGCCTACTGAATATACAAATTAAATACTATGATTGTAAAGTACTGATACAATCATCACTAGATGGTATTAATGGTATAGGAATGTAATTCATGAATACAAAGGACCTAAAGATTTTAAGGTTGCTATAAACCATATGATTCATGGAAATATAATTGGACAGGATATTATAGTAATACATGTATTAGTACTTAAGTAATATCAGGTATTGAGAATGAAAATACTATGCTATATGTGTCTGTAGGAGTATTATAGTGATTCACAGTTATTATTATTTAGAAAGTTATCATCTTGATTTTGTTATCTACAAAGATACGACTGTACCAGAGCAGGTAGATATTTCTGATTGCTTTATTGTTTATTGGATCAACATTTGTAAATATTGTATTCATTTATTATATATATGTATATATTATGTTCAAGTAGTTATGATGTAACATGGATATGGATATCAATACATAGCTGAAACAGAGGAGTTTTGAAGTAAAGTAAGCAGTATGAGGGATAGAAACTCGACCTTCTAAGAACTCTCATATAATAGAAAGTTGTGACTACATCTTGTTCTATGCTCAATGAATGTGATACAAGTGATGTATGAATGGACAGGTTATTGACATTGTGTTATGGTTTTAAAACAAACCATAAACAGAGGGAATGTAGAATATTGCATATTCTATGTTTCTATTGATTATATATATGGATGTGTGGATTGACATAAGTAACAGATGGTATCAATAAGTCACAAGGCTTTCTTTGTCCGAGAGCTCTGGAATGTGGATTCGGGGGTCTTGTCCTTATATGGCTAGAGTTATATGCTGACGTTAGTATTAGCACATCTAGATAGTAACAGAGGGACACGAGGTCGGTCTCACTCTTGGCTTGGCTCTGTACAACGATGTAACTCTCCCATCAGAAGTACAGCAATTACCATCTGCTGTTAAATGTCCATTATCCTGTAACATCCTATATTATGTTTTATGTATCCGTAACTAAGAATAAACCTGAAGAAACCGTAAGTCAGATTGCGTATTACTACTTTTCAATAATATAGACATATATTATTGTGGCGAGCATTTGGCCCAAGAATATATATACAAAAGACGTATATATATCAATCAACTGAAGACAAGAAGAAATTAAGAAAGAGTCTACATTAACATCCATTCATCTAGTTTTTTACATAATTATTATTATTATTATGATGATGTTATTTATATAGTAATGTCCTTAAAACAAGTCAAAATGAGGCTTAGTAGTGTGTGTGGCCTCCACATGCCTGTATGACCTCCCTACAACTGTGCATGCTCTTGATGATGTGGCGGATGGTCTCCTGAGGGATTTCCTCCCAGACCTGGACTAAAGCATCTGCCAACTCCTGGACAGTCTGTGGTGCAACGTGACGTTGGTGGATGGAGCGAGACATGATGTCCCAGATGTGCTCAATTGGATTCAGGTCTGGGGAACGGGCGGGCCAGTCCATAGCATCAATGCCTTTGTCTTGCAGGAACTGCTGACACACTCCAGCCACATGAGTTCTAGCATTGTCTTGCATTAGGAGGAACCCAGGGCCAACCGCACCAGCATATGGTCTCACAAGGGGTCTGAGGATCTCATCTTGGTACCTAATGGCAGTCAGGCTACCTCTGGCGAGCACATGGAGGGCTGTGCGCCCCCCAAAGAAATGCCACCCCACACCATTACTGACCCACTGCCAAACCGGTCATGCTGGAGGATGTTGCAGGCAGCAGAACGTTCTCCACGGCATCTCCAGACTCTGTCACGTCTGTCACATGTGCTCAGTGTGAACCTGCTTTCATCTGTGAAGAGCACAGGGCTCCAGTGGCGAATTTGCCAATCTTGGTGTTCTCTGGCAAATGCCAAACGTCCTGCACGGTGTTGGGCTGTAAGCACAACCCCCACCTGTGGACGTCAGGCCCTCATACCACCCTCATGGAGTATGTTTCCGTTTGAGCAGACACATGCATATTTGTGGCCTGCTGGAGGTCATTTTGCAGGGCTATGGCAGTGCTCCTCCTGTTCCTCCTTGCACAAAGGCGGAGGTAGCGGTCCTGCTGCTGGGTTGTTGCCTTCCTACGGCCTCCTCCACGTCTCCTGATGTACTGGCCTCTCTCCCGGTAGCGCCTTCATGCTCTGGACACTACACTGACAGACACAGCAAACCTTCTTGCCACAGCTCGCATTGATGTGCCATCCTGGATGAGCTGCACTACCTGAGCCACTTGTGTAGGTTGTAGACTACGTCTCATATTACCAGTAGAATGAAAGCACTGCCAGCATTCAAAAGTGACCAAAACATCAGCCAGGAAGCATAGGAACTGAGAAGTGGTCTGTGGTCACCACCTGCAGAACCACTCCTTTATTGGGGGTGTCTTGCTAATTTCCACCTGTTGTCTATCCCATTTGCACAACAGCATGTGAAATTGATTGTCACTCAGTGTTGCTTCCTAAGTGGACAGTTTGATTTCACAGAAGTGTGATTGACTTGGAATTACATTGTGTGTTCCCTTTATTTTTTTAAACAGTGCATTTGGCTTAACTCCAACCACAACCTGTTCATTCACCAATACCCAGTGGGTTGTTTTAATTAATATTGGTACTATTATATAAAAATGTTTAAAAAGGCATTTCACATGATTAGTCGCTCATGATATTGTAATGCATTGAAAGTAACCTTTAATGTACTTACCATCATCTTGTATACAAGTATCTTAAGATTATTTGGAATGACAAAAAAAAGAATTAGAAAAAAAAAAGGTAAGAGTAACCCATAAACTAAAATAATTTAATAATAAAACCAAGTGACGTCCACCACGTTTCGCCTATTGTTAGCCTGAACTAACCATATATTAATTATACTCAATCATCCACCCCCTTTAAATAAGCAAAAATAACATAACTACCAATCATAATAATAATAATAATAATAATAATAATAATAATACGGAGGAATAAACAGTATAATTGAGGAATTAGGTACCAAAGATTGCTTCTTCCTATCTGGGAGTCTGTGAACGTTACTTCACACAGTGCTGCTTGAAAAGTTGACCAATCATTTTATAGTTGGCCCTGCTATAGTCCAGGGCTCTCTGAACACCAAGATGTTTAAAGTGTCCTAATTAGACCTGTGACATTGTGAAATGCGGAACAGTCCGGATTCTTTACCCAGAGCATGTGTCTGTGTTGCAGTTTACAATTAAATGCAGTGTATCACACGTACGCTTGGTAACTGAATTTAAGGCCATCTCCCAGGCCTGTTCGAACTGGTTGAAGGGCTGAAGTAATTATTGTATGTCTGGAACTTGCAGATGAAATTAGAAAAAGGGAAACAAAATCGACATCATCTTGGTGATAAGGATCAGGAGACGTGGTCCAGGTCTAACACACAGACTGCTGCACACGAACCAGTGAAGAGCATCCTTCAGGCCCAGCACATATCTCTGGAGACAGTGGACTGCAACTCTTAACCACTTCTCACTACTACAGCTAGACAATTGTTTACTCTACTGTCTGTTTGTATGTGTGAGGTTTGTGTAGTAATATTAATTATGCTTATAAAATGTTTTACTCTGTGTATCTCTCTATATATGTGGCAGAAACAGGGGTGTTGCTACTTGCTATTGGGGGGCTGACTTAAGCTGGAGCACCAACAGGGGTTCCTTTCATTGTTAGCCCCAGGTCCCCTCTAATATTATTTGGGGGTTCATTATAGAGCACAGTGTAGGGATTTCGTTGTAGGTGAATGGTTTTAATGAGGTGGGGGCTGGTTTAATGCTGCTAACTTGGAGTGAATACTGATAGTGTGGGGTTAATACAGCATGGTGTGGGGTTAATACAGCATGGTGTGGGGTAAATACTGCATAGTGTGGGGTTAATACAGCATGGTGTGGGGTAAATACTGCATAGTGTGGGATTAATACAGCATGGTGTGGGGTAAATACTGCATAGTGTGGGATTAATACAGCATGGTGTGAGGTAAATCCTGCATAGTGTGGGATTAATACAGCATGGTGTGGGGTAAATCCTGCATAGTGTGGGATTAATACAGCATGGTGTGGGGTAAATCCTGCATAGTGTGGAATTAATACAGCATGGTGTGGGCTAAATCCTGCATAGTGTGGGATTAATACAGCATGGTGTGGGGTAAATACTGCATAGTGTGGGATTAATACAGCATGGTGTGGGGTAAATACTGCATAGTGTGGGATTAATACAGCATGGTGTGGGGTAAATACTGCATAGTGTGGGATTAATACAGCATGGTGTGGGGTAAATACTGCATAGTGTGTGATTAATACAGCATGGTGTGGGGTAAATACTCCATAGTGTGGGATTAATACAGCATGGTGTGGGGTAAATACTGCATAGTGTGGGATTAATACAGCATGGTGTGGGGTAAATACTGCATAGTGTGGGATTAATACAGCATGGTGTGGGGTAAATACTGCATAGTGTGGGATTAATACAGCATGGTGTGGGGTAAATACTGCATAGTGTGGGATTAATACAGCATGGTGTGGGGTAAATACTGCATAGTGTGGGATTAATACAGCATGGTGTGGGGTAAATAATACGGCATTAGTGTGTGGATTAATACAGCATGGTGTGGGGTAAATACTGCATAGTGTGGGGTAAATACTGCATAGTGTGGGATTAATACAGCATGGTGTGAGGTAAATACTGCATAGTGTGGGATTAATACAGCATGGTGTGGGGTAAATACTGCATAGTGTGGGATTAATACAGCATGGTGTGGGGTAAATACTGCACAGTGTGGGATTAATACAGCATGGTGTGGGGTAAATACTGCACAGTGTGGGATTAATACAGCATGGTGTGGGGTAAATACTGCACAGTGTGGGATTAATACAGCATGGTGTGAGGTAAATACTGCACAGTGTGGGATTAATACAGCATGGTGTGGGGTAAATACTGCACAGTGGGGGATTAATACAGCATGGTGTGGGGTAAATCCTGCACAGTGGGGGATTAATATAGCATGGTGTGGGGTAAATCCTGCACAGTGGGGGATTAATACAGCATGGTGTGGGGTAAATCCTGCACAGTGTGGGATTAATACAGCATGGTGTGGGGTAAATCCTGCACAGTGTGGGATTAATACAGCATGGTGTGGGGTAAATCCTGCACAGTGTGGGATTAATACAGCATGGTGTGGGGTAAATCCTGCACAGTGTGGGATTAATACAGCATGGTGTGGGGTAAATACTGCACAGTGTGGGATTAATACAGCATGGTGTGGGGTAAATCCTGCACAGTGGGGGATTAATACAGCATGGTGTGGGGTAAATCCTGCACAGTGGGGGATTAATACAGCATGGTGTGGGGTAAATCCTGCACAGTGTGGGATTAATACAGCATGGTGTGGGGTAAATCCTGCACAGTGTGGGATTAATACAGCATGGTGTGGGGTAAATACTGCACAGTGTGGGATTAATACAGCATGGTGTGGGGTAAATACTGCACAGTGTGGGATTAATACAGCATGGTGTGAGGTAAATACTGCACAGTGTGGGATTAATACAGCATGGTGTGGGGTAAATACTGCATAGTGTGGGGTTAATACAGCAT